GAAGATGAACTTCATGGTTCTTGGTTGAAACATCTGACTGGTCTGCACCCACTCATTGCCAAGCAGTTTAACAACATACTGCATGGAGATGAAATTGAAGATTGGTTAACATCTGGCAAAGCCTACCTGATACTGAAAGATCCACCAAAAGGGGCAACACCAGGCAACTACAGGCCAATTATCTGCTTGCCAACAACTTTCAAATTGCTAACTGATGCGGTAGCTGATGCAGTCCAACAGCATCTAGCTCTTGGAAACAACGTCTTTCCATCTGAGCGGAAAGGAAACTGCCCAAACAGTTTCCATCTGAGCGGAAAGGAAACTGCCCCAACAGTCCTTTTGTCACCTCATCCTGACACAGAGAGAACTGCTCCTGTCTGTACTCCTGCTCTCTTAAGATGCCGGTCACAGATGCTGGTGAAACGTTAGGAAACAAAACTTCCAGAACACGGCCACACAGCCCGGAAGACCCACACTAGCCAAACATCAGAAGCTTTGTGCAAAGATCACTGGTACGGTGGAAGACACAGTTGCTGGTCAGTGGTGATAGACTGGGAGAAGTTAATATCAAGAGATGAATCTTTCAAGGAGACTCACTATCACCACTGTTGTTTGACATTGCATTGATTCCTTTGTCAACAATACTGAACAAGTCAGGCCATGGCTATCAAACATCATAAACATCTGCCAGCCTATCCCACTTCCTTTACATAGATGATCTGAAGCTGTGTGGAAAAACACCATCTGAAATAGAATCGCAGCTCAACAGTGTCCAAATATACAGCCAAGATATTACAATTGAGTTTGGACTGGACAAACGTTTCACCCTTACCATCAACAGGGGGAAAATAGTGAAAACTGAAGGAATCAATTTGCAAATAACAAATTGCAAATAACATCAAGAGTCTAGATGAAGAAGATCACTACAAATACCTGGGCATCCTTCAAGCTGACAACATCAAGCACACTGAAGTCAAGAAGAAGATAAGTAGGGAATACTTCATGAGAGTGAAGAAGATCTTAAAGTCCAAACTCAATGGTGGAAATACCATCAAGGTGGTTAACACCTGGGCAATTCCAGTCATTCAATACACAGCTGGAATAGTGAACTGGACTCAAGCAGAACTAGAAGACTTGGATAGGAAGACCAAAAAAATAATTACAGTGAATCATGCCCTTCATCCACGCAGCGATGTCGACAGACTCTACTTACCAACGAGCATAGGTGGGTGTGAAATGTGGCAAGTACACCAGATAGTTGAAGAAGAAAAAAGATATTGGAAGAATATCTGAAGGACAGTGAACAAGATGCACTGAAGCTAGTATACCATGAAGGCTTACTGAATACTGAGGAGACCAAACTGGCCTTCAAAAAAGACCAAATGAAGAAC